CCCCTGACCCGCTTGTGGTGGTGGTGGTGGGAAGAGTAGGCGGTGGAAGGCGGTGAAGGTATCCGTTATAAGCTGCACTGCTACACTGGATAGTGGGCTCAGGAAGTGTGCTGGTGTGGGGGGAAGAATGGAGAGGAAGTGGGAGGGGAGGAGCGGGCGAGGGGGAACGGAGCACAACGTAATAAGTTGCACTGATGTAGAATCAGTAGGGTCGCTTCTGAGACCTCTCAAAAGCGAAGCACAACATTTTAAGTTGCACTGATATAGTATTAGTAGGGTCGGGACCTGGGCTGATAGAGCAAGGGAGGAAGGTGAGGTGACGAGTCTAGAAATTTGGGAGGTGCGGTGAGGAAGCAAGGGAGGCAGTAGTTACTGGGTGTCGCAAAAAATGGCGATGCAAGAAGGGCAGCACTGTTTAGGCGCCATATGAAGTGCATTTTGAGGCGCCTTTTGAGGCGCATTTTGAGGCGCATTTTGAGGCGCATTTTGAGGCGCATTTTGAGGCGCCTCAAAGTGCAAGAAGGGCAGCACTGTTTAGGCGCCATAGATCATGAAGCTGCAATGCAATGGAAAGCAACATTGATTGGGTACAAAAGAGATTTGGTGCATCTGTTAGGAAAAGCAGACTTTTGAGGTGCCTCAAAAGTCGCTGCAGACAATGAAGTTGCAAGTAAGGCAACATTCATTAGTAACAATAGATAATAAGCGCATCATTGAAAGTGTGCGCAGGAAAAGCAGCTATCTCTAGGCGCCCATTGAAAGGGGGAAGAACAGAATGCATGAAAGGAAAGTTAGAGAAGACAGGAGAGAGAGAGGAAAGGGATTAAGAGAGGCAGACGCTTATACCTCTGACGTTGGTGATTGTAACGGATTTGATTAGAGGGGAGCCTGTGAGACCCCTGCCCACCTTGCGAATGGCTGACTGGGTGGGATCTGGTGTGGGGCATATGGAGGGAGGGAAGATAGCGAACGGAAGAGCAAAGGGAAGAAGGGAGGGCACCTTAACAACTGCCTGTGAGTCCCCTGCTGCTGACCTTGCGAATGGCTGACTGGGGGGATCTGGTGAGGGGCGTTGGAAGGAGAGAAGGCGGAAAAAGGAGGAAGTGGTTTGAGACGCCTTGTACACTGCTTGTGAGTCATCCGCTGCTGACTCTGCGATGGCTGATTGGGTGGGGTCTGGAGAGGGGCGTTGGGAGGGAGAGAAGGCGGAAAAAGGAGGAAGTGGTTTGAGACGCCTCGTACACTGCTTGTGAGTCATCCGCTGCTGACTTCGCGAATGGCTGACTGGGTGGGGTCTGGAGAGGGGCGTTGGGAGGGAGAGAAGGCGGAGAAGAAATGGGGAGAAGTGACTTGTGAGACGTTTCAAGAGGACCTTTAAGTCAACTCACTTTTGAGAACTCTCAAAACCGAGACGTTTCAAGAGGAAGTCAACTCAAAAGAGACTTTTGAGATGCTTCAGAAACTGCTTGTGAGCCTCCCCTGCTAAATTGAGATGCTTCCAATGGGCCAAATTGTTGGGTGTAGGGTTTTAGGGTGGTTAATGGGAAGGGTGCATGGAAGGGTGCATGGAAGGGTGCATGGAAGGGTGCATGGAAGGGGAAGGCAGTGGTTTTTGAAACGCCGTTTTGAAACGCCGCAAACAACTGCTTGTGAGTGCTCCCCTGCTGACCTTGCGCATGACCAGTGGGGATGGGATCTGGTGAGAGGCGTAGGAGGAAAGATTGAGAAGCGAGGTAGTGGAGCTGGAACCACTACCAAACACTTTTCCTCTCTCACACACTCACGCTCACTGCTTTCCCTAACGATCTATCTCACCCGTCGTTCGTTTCAGCAGCCAATGGCCAGATACGGAACGAGCCACATAGAAGTGCTTCCCTTACCTACCTCCCTTCTCTCCTCCCCCTCCCTTCTTTCCCACATGATCATCTCACCCTTGGTTGATTACAGCAGCCAATGGCCGGATACGGAACGAGCCACATAAAATAAATTGCTTCCTTACCTACCTCCCTCCTCTCCTGTCCCTCAGCCCACTCAACCTTTGGTCAGCTTACATAACCACCGGGCCGGGCAGACATAGTTCGAGCCACATACAAATGCTGACCACTCCCCTGCATTCCCTCAGCCCACATACAAGTGCTTTGCATTCCCTCAGCCCACATACAAGTGCTTTGCATTCCCTCACGACCATCTCACCCTTGGTCAGCTTCCACAGCCAGCGGGCAGACACGGTGCGAGCCAGATAGAAGTGCTCCCTCTTTCTGCATTCCCTCGCCGCGTTCATTCCTCTCCACACGATCAGCTCACTCACCCTTGGTCAGCTTCCACAGCCAGCGGGCAGACAAGATTCGAGCCACACAGGAGTGCGTCCTCTTCCTGCATTCCCTTTCCCTGTGCATACTCGCCCCGTTCATTCCTCTCACACACGACCCATCTCACTCACCCTTGGTCAGCTTCCACAGCCAGCGGGGCAGACACGGTTCGAGCAAGATAAAAGTGCTCCAGCGCCCTGCGCACTGATATCACGGCCATCTGAATGGGGGAGATGGGGAGAGAAGGGGTGGGAGGGGAAAGGTGGGATAAGATGGGAAATTCTTATTGACAAGATAAAAGTGCTCCAGCGCCCTGCGCACTGAGATCACCGCCATCTGAATGGAGGGGGAGAAGGGAAGAGGGGGAAGGGGGGAAAGAAAGGAAGAAGGGGAAGCGGATGAGGGGGAGCGAGACAGGTGATTGTTGTTGACAACATAAAAGTGCTCCAGCGCCCTGTGCACTGAAATCACCGCCATCTGATGGGCGGGGAGGAGTGGGGGGCACGGGGGGAAGGGGAAGGGGAGTGGGAGGGGGGGACGGGGGGGGAATAAGTGGAAGGGGGGATGTGGAAGTGCCTCCAGCGCCCTGCGCACTGATATCACCGCCATCTGATGCAGGAGAGAGGGGGGGGAGAGAGGGGGGGGAGAGAGGGGGAGAGAGAGGGGGGGAGAGAGGGGGGGAGAGAGGGGGGGAGCGAGGGAGGTCAAGACAGGAAATTTCTGTTTGGCAATGTGGGAGTGCTCCAGCGCCCTGCGCACTGATACCATGACCATCTGATGCGGGAGAGGGGTGGGCGGGAGAGAGAGCGGGGGGAGTGGGGAAGGAGGGAGCGGGAAGGGGGTAGCGGGCATTGGGATCTTCCAATGCGGAAGTGCTCCAGCGCCTGCGCACTGATATCACCATGACCATCTGATGCGGGAGAGGGGGTGGGGGGGGGCGAGGAAGGCCGAGAGCGTTGAAGGGGGTAGGGGGCATTGGGACAGAGATCACAGTTATTTGAAGAAGTAGATGGGGGAAGGGGGGGGGAGAAGAGAAAGTGGGGAAGGTGGGGATGGGGGAGTTGGGGAGAAGGCATGTGGAAGTGCTCCCACAAGGCCCTGCGCAATGAGATCACAGGCATCTGCATGGAGGAGAGAGTGCCCTGATCACTGATTTTGAGTCGACTCAAAAGCATCTGCATGGGGAAGAGAGTGCCCTGATCACTGAAGTGCTCCAATGTGGAAGTGCTCCAATGTGGAAGTGCTCCAATGTGGAAGTGCTTCCAATGTGGAAGTGCTCCAATGTGGAAGTGCTCCAATGTGGAAGTGCTCCAATGTGGAAGTGCTCCAATGTGGAAGTGCTCCAATGTGGAAGTGCTCCAATGTGGAAGTGCTCAATGTGGAAGTGCTCCAATGTGGAAGTGCTCCAATGTGGAAGTGCTCCAATGTGGAAGTGCTCCAATGTGGAAGTGCTCCAATGTGGAAGTGCTCCAATGTGGAAGTGCTCCAATGTGGAAGTGCTCCAATGTGGAAGTGCTCCAATGTGGAAGTGCTCCAATGTGGAAGTGCTCCAATGTGGAAGTGCTCCAATGTGGAAGTGCTCCAATGTGGAAGTGCTCCAATGTGGAAGTGCTCCAATGTGGAAGTGCTCCAATGTGGAAGTGCTCCCAAGGGCCTGCGCACTGAGATCACAGCCAAGCCGCCCAGAGCTGAAGTTTGAGTCGATTCAAATGTCACCTCTTTTGAGTCGATTCAGAAGTCACCTCTTTTTGAGTCGATTCAAAAGTAACTCTTTTGAGTCGATTCAGAAGTCACCTCTTTTGAGTCGATTCAGAAGTCCCCTCTTTTGAGTCGATTCAGAAGTCACCTCTTTTGAGTCGATTCAGAAGTCACCTCTTTTGAGTCGATTCAGAAGTCACCTCTTTGAGTCGATTCAGAAGTCACCTCCTTTTGAGTCGATTCAGAAGTCACCTCTTTTGAGTCGATTCAAAAGTAACCTCTTTTGAGTCGATTCAGAAGTCACCTCTTTTGAGTCGATTCAGAAGTCACCTCTTTTGAGTCGATTCAGAAGTCACCTCTTTTGAGTCGATTCAGAGTCACCTTGAGGATCAAGTCACCCTCTTTGAGTCGATTCAGAAGTCACCTCTTTTGAGTCGATTCAGAAGTCACCTCTTTTGAGTCGATTCAGAAGTCACCTCTTTTGAGTCGATTCAGAAGTCACCTCTTTTGGTCGATTACAGAATCACCTCTTTGAGTCGATCAGAAGTCACCTCTTTTGAGTCGATTCAGAAGTCACCTCTTTTGAGTCGATTCAAAAGTCACCTCTTTTGAGTCGATTCAAAAGGGCCCTGCGCACTGAGATCACAGCCATGGCGCCAAGAGCTGCAATTGACAAAACCCACCCATGTGGACCCGCCCATGTGGACCCACCATGTGGACCCACCCATGTGGACCCACCCACGTGGACCCACCCTTGTGGACCCACCCATGTGGACCCACCCATTGTGGACCCACCATGTGGACCCCCACCATGTGGACCCACCCCTGTGGACCCCACCCATGTGACCCACCCATGTGGGACCCACCCATGTGGACCCACCCATGTGGACCCACCCACGTGGACCCACCCACGTGGACCCCACCCTGTGGACCCACCCCTGTGGACCCACCCATGTGGACCCACGTGGCCCACCCACGTGGACCCACCCCTGTGGACCCACCCCTGTGGACCCACCCGAATGCACCGAGCCAACTAACCTCCCAAGCGCGCCAGTCCCACTCACCTCTCTCAGCGACAGCTGCATTGTGCATGCAGCAATCGCCCAGCACCCATATTCCGCAACGCTGCAATCTGTTCTTGATACGTCTCACACTCCACCCAAATGCACCAACCCACTCACCACCCTAAGCGACAGCCATGCCGTCCCGGCAGCAATCCGCCCAGCACCCCATGCTCTTCTAAGCGCCTCGAATTTTGCCCAAACATGCTCACCTCACAGATGGACCAATCCTACCCTACCCACCTCTCTGAGCGACAACCTCGCCGTCCCGGCAGCAATCCTGCCTGCTCCCATATTCAGAAACGCTGCAATCTGCCTCTCCCTCTCCCTCCTTGCCTCCCACATGCGTCAGTCCCACTCACCTCTCTGAGCGACAACCACGCTGTGCCAGCAGCAATCCTCCCTGCACCCATATTCCGAAAAGCTGCAATCTTCCTCTCCCTCTCCGCTGCTTCCGCCGCTCTCCTCCTCTCCCTCTCCCTCCTCGCCTCCTCTTCTTCCTCGTCCTCCTCCTCCTCTTCCAGACTGGGAGCCTGAGCCTCTATATAGTCTGCAAACAGAGGGAGGATCTGGATAAGGCTGTTTCTCACAGCCATTATCAGCATGCCACGTGGACAGAAGGCGGAGTAGAGAGATCTCAGCTTCACCGTGTAGAGCTTCCCGTCCACTCGTTCCGTGATGATGTTAGCCGTTTTGCTGATGTCAGCACGAGCGCGAGCATCTTCATCATCAGAAGCTGCTGATGCTGTTCCGGAAGCTTCGCTTCCCTTCCCGTTGCTCTGCTCCTTTCGAGGACCTGTTCCCGAGCCTGTGCGCGAGGCTTGGTGAATCCATGGCTGGAAGGTCTGGTCCGAGGCTGTTTCGGCTCGGCAGTGCACGACGGGGAGGAAGCGTGAGAGGAGGGGTGAGGAGGGTGCGTGGGAGGAGAGAGAGTGGGGCGAGCGACGAGGGGAAGAACTGCCTTGGGAGAATGGAGAGAGGATTGTTGCTGCTGATGTTTCTGATGCTGCTGATGCTGCTGATGCTGATGCTGCTGATGCTGCTGATGCTGATGCTGCTGATGCTGATGCTGGTGGTGGTGGTTGGAAATTGGTTGGAATGGAAGCGACCTGAGAGCACCGCAGACCTGCACGCATCGGGTGGCAAGGGATTACACATGTCAGAAAGAAAGGGTACAGGAATCTAGATAAATGTAATTGCGCGTAATGGAACAAGCCTGGGCGTGCGGACAGACCTGAAGCGGACCCATGGGCGTCGCCACCCCGCGACGTGAAGTACGACCTCGTCGCGTAACCTCGATTCGTGCCTTTGACCGGCCCGGCAGACGCCATTTCGCCGTTTAATGTCACTTCAGCACACGAATTCGCTGTCCAAATCTCAGCAGGTTCGTCGTTACAGCACGATCCGAAACGAGATGAACGGCGACAAATGACTTCTTGGGCCTTGCTGCTGGCGCAAGGATCTAGGGTTTTTCGCGTCTGCGAGATCGCAGGTGGACAACGGCGAATTCCTATAAGCAGAGAGCGGAGCCAATAGATTGGGCTGGGAGCACTTCAAAAAGCGCAGGAAACGAGAATCTTGAGCGACGGAAGAAGGGGAAAGGGAGAGCCAGTAATCTCCCATAGTAACTTCAGTCTACATTACTGGCTCCTAAATACGGGGCTTCAAGCTCCTAGAGTACGTAACTTCCAGTCTATTTGTGGTGCAGTGAACTGGAGCTCCCAGGGCGGTTCATGCGTTCGGCCTTGGTTTCACCCGACCTTTCAAACATTTTTTTTCGGATTTCGAGGTTTTGCTGGGCTACCGTTTCGCATCTTGAAACAACAATCGACGATTGGTCTTCTGGTTGACCTGCTCCAGCGGAGGTGTCCGTTCGCCACGACGATTGATCTTCTCGCATGCTTTCGTCCGTGTGACTCATTCGATGTAACCCCTTCGAGTTTTCGTTTCGTGAGGCTCAAGCTCCCCATGAGGTGGAGGCAGAGATGTGGCTGTGCTGAACGAATCGTGTCATGTCGAGTGAACCGACCCCCAAGATTGCATACACAGTCTGAACATATTTGCCAATGGGACAATCCGACCCAAAATTCAGCACTAGATATCTGTGTTGTTGGTCCCATTGGCACCCAATTGAACGAACTTCGGTCGGGGGGCAAACCTCTCAAACGCCCACCTCACGCAACTCCAGCTCACATCCACCACTCCTCTTGCAGCTTGATTTGTTTCCCGCCAATTTTCTGACACCAGAATCCAAAGCCACATCGAGATTCGAAAAATCCGACAACCCCAAGAGTACCAGCCAACCGGAAACAGGGAAACAGCAATGTAGAGGAACAGCAACGCAGAGAGACAAACCAACACCAAGGGAAAACGCCAACACCATTCTTGTGTGCTTCCGCTTGTGCCTGCTAGCACTCAATGCTTTTCTTGGGATCTACGCCAGGTCCTCACATTTCTGAATCCTGATCTTAGACATTGCTCGCCTTCTTCATATCTCTCGTTGCGGCTTTCTGAGGTTTTTTCTCGTCGTCATTTTCGTAGCTCTTTGATTATTGCCTCTGACTAGCGGAGCTCAGTACGTTATACATATCAAGAATGGCGGACGAAGGCAAGTCCGTGGCGAAGATCATCGACGGCAAGGCCATCGCGAAGCAGATCCATGGCGAGGTGGCTGAGGGGGTGGCCAAACTAAAGGAAGCCACTGGGAAGGTGAGGACTTAGTTTCACGACTCTAGCGAATCTGCAGCAAACTCTGAGGGGTGCGATTCTGCTACAAAACAGCTCACATCATGGCTGTGCTGAGGCGCATTCGCGGGCAAAGGTTTGCACGGGTACGTTCTACCTACCCTCCGTTCGACATCCCCCCCATTCTACCTGTCGTGACCTTTACCTACTGTAGCTTGAGTCGCGAGTTGAGGTGAAAAGAAAGGCGCGCCAGGAAATAGAAATCGCCTTTTACCCAGATCACTTCCTGCCGTCACCCCATCCCTGCCGCAGGTCCCAGGGCTGGCTGTGATTATAGTGGGGGAGCACAAGGACTCGCAGACGTACGCGAAGGTGAAGCCGTACCTGGCCATGGATATCCCCGTATAACTGAGCACGAATTCGCCTTCCTGCACGTTTCCTGCCGCCAATGCAGGTCCCAAGGCGCTAGCTGTGATTATAGTGGGGAGCGCAAACGTGCGCATGAAGGCGAAGGCGTGCCGGGAGGTGAGGATCGTCCTATAACTGAGTACAAGTTCGTGTTCCTACCCAATCCCCGCCAAACAGGTCCCAGGGTTGGCTGTGATTATAGTGGGGGAGCGCAAGGACTCGCAGACGTACGTGCGGATGAAGGTGAAGGCGTGCCAGGAGGTGGGGATCGCGTCGTTCGAGGGGAAGCTTCCTGGCGATGCCAGCCAGGATGACGTCATTGCTGCTGTCAGAGAGTTCAACGCCAACCCTGACGTTTCATGGTGAGGTGCTGACACGTGTGTGGTGAGGCGCTGACGTGTGCATGATGAGGTGCTGACGTGTACAACATGAGGTACTGGCGTGTGCATGTTGAGTGCTGAGGTATGCATGATTAGTGCTGACGTGTGCACACTGAGATGCGAACGTGGATGGATCGAGTACCCCCACCTTCTCCCCAGTTCAAGCCAAGCATCCGCTCCTTTAATCCATTCGTCTTCTCTTCTTCCTATCCCCCTCCCATGCCGTGCCTCGCCCATCCCATCCCGTGCCTCGCCCCTCACATGCATCACCAGGCATTCTGGTTCAGCTCCCCCTGCCGGCACACATCAGCGAGGAGGCGGTGCTTGCTGAAGTGGCGCTGCCCAAGGACGTGGACGGCTTCCATCCAATCAACATCGGCCAGCTGGCGATGAAGGGGCGCCACCCGCAGTTCGCTCCATGCACTCCCGAGGTGGGTAGGGGTCTGGGTATTGGCGGGGGTTTGAGGCAATGGGATGTGGGTGCAGGGAATGAAGAGAGGGCGAGGGGAGGGGGTGAGTGGAAGAGCATTGATGAAGGGGCGCCGCCCACAGTCCACCCCGTGCACTTCCGAGGTGGTTTTTTTTAGACGTCTCAAAAATAACCTCATTACACATGGAAACACGCACTTGGTTTTCACGATTCTATGAGGTTGGATTCTTCCTCCCTGCATCCTCTCCCCTGCCATCATCTCAACTATTGCTCCCTCGGCCTCCTCCCTCCTCCCCCACCTTTCCTCCTTCCCCCCTCTCTTTGCAGGGCTGCATGGTTCTATTGGAGCACAGCGGCGTGCAGATCAGTGGGCAGATTGTGAGACGCCTCAAAAGTGCATCACCTCAGAACGCCCTCCCTCCCACTTCTCCATATTCAACTCCCATGCATCAACGTCCTCTGGTGCCACCCGCCCTTCTGCAGGGCTGCATCGTGCTGCTGGAGCGCAGTGGCGTGCCGATCAGCGGGCAGCGGGTGGTGGTGATTGGAACCTTCTATCCCTCCTCTCCCTGTCACATCATCCTAAAACCTCCAACCCCTTTTATTTTGCAGGGCTGCATGGTTCTATTGGAGTGCAGTGGCGTGCAGATCAGTGGGCAGCGGGCGGTGGTAATTGGGCGCAGCAACATCGTGGGCATGCCCGTGGCGATGCTGCTGCCACGGTCACCATCATGCTACCTTTGCTGCATCGTACCAGCTTCACCACCCTGCCGTTTCCCCTCTCCTTCCCCCCCTCCCTCCGCCCTCTCCTTCTCCCTGCTCCTTCCCTCCCTCCTTCTCCACCCTCCTTCCCTCCCTCTCCTTCCCCTTTTCTTTATCGTCTTCCCTCCCCAGGGCTGCATGGTTCTATTGGAGCGCAGTGGCGTGCAGATCAGCGGGCAGCGGGCGGTGGTGATTGGCCGCAGCAACATCGTGGGCATGCCTGCTGCGATGCTATTGGTGGAGAGGGACGCGACGGTTACCATAGTGCACTCGCGGACCAAGGAGCCCAAGGAGATCGTGAAGCAGGCGGATATTGTTATTGCTGCTATTGGGAGGGCCCAGATGGTGAGTGCAGTGCGGTGAGGTGCAGTGGAGTGCGTTGGAGTGCGGTAACTCGTAATGAGCAGAATAGTTGCCATAGTGCACTCGAGGACAAAAAAGCCCAAGGAGATTGTGAAGCAGGCGGATATTGTTATTGCTGTTATTGCTGTTATTACTTCCCATCCTTTCCTCCCTCCTCATCTCTCAATATTCGTTCCTTCTCCTTCCCTCCAGGTGAAGACTGACTGATTGAAGCTGGGGTGTCCGGTGATTGATGTGAGGATAAACGCTCCACCCTCACCCTCTATTTTCCTCCCCTGCCTTCCCCGTATAAACAGGTGAAGGGAGACTGGTTGAAGGCGGGGTGTGCAGTGATTGACGAGGGATCAATGCAGTCGACGACGTGAGCAAGAAGGCGGGGTACCGCCTGGTGGGGGATGTGGACTATGAGGAGGCCAGGGAGGTGGCCGATCAACCGCACTCAACCACACTCAACCGCCTAGTGAATTGGCAGTAGGCAGTAGGCGGGGTACCGGCTGGTGGGGGATGTGGACTATGAGGAGGCCAGGGAGGTTCCCACTCAACCGCCGGCCTCCCTTCCCCCCCTCTCCTTCCATTTCCTCCCCCTAAACAGGTCAAAGCCGACTGGCTGAAACCGGGGTGTGCAGTGATCGACGTGGGGATCAATGCAGTGGACGATGCAAGCAATAAGGCGGGGTACCGGCTGGTGGGGAATGTGGACTATGAGCAAGCCAGGGAGGCTCATCTGCCTTGTTCCCTTTCTTCCCACTCAACCGCCCTCCTCCCTGCTCCCCTCCGTCCCCTCTCCTTCAACTCTCCTTCACCTCCTCCCGCTCGTTCCTTCTCCATTGCCTCTCCTACCCTCTCTATTCTCCACCAGGTGAAAGCCGACTGGCTGAAACCGGGGTGTGCAGTGATCGACGTGGGGATCAATGCAGTCGATGACGTGAGCAAGAAGGCGGGGTACCGGCTGGTGGGGGATGTGGACTATGAGGGGGCCAGGGAGGTGGCCGGGTGGATCACACCCGTGCCGGGGGGAGTGGGACCCATGACCATCGCTGTGCTGCTGCAGCACACTCTTACAGCCGCACAGAGGGCACTGGGGGCTAATTCATAGGGCTATACTTGAAAGTCAGTTGAAACAGGGAACTTGTTTGGATGGAAGGCGGGGTACCGGCTGGTGGGAGATGTGGACTATGAGGGGGCCAGGGAGGTGGCCGGGTGGATCACACCCGTGCCGCGAGGAGTAGGACCCATGACCATCGCTTTGCTGTTGCAGCACACCCTTACAGCCGCAGAGAGGGCACTGGGGGCTAGTTCTTAGGTCGGATTTAGCTAGAATCGAAGGCATTGAGGCTTGAGTCAGACAAGGTTGGTGGCTGGGTGGATCACACCCGTGCCGGGGGGAGTGGGACCCAGGACCATCGCTGTGCTGCTGCAACACACCCTTTCAGCAGTGCAGAGGGCACTGGAAGTCAGCTGACAAAGACTGAGGTAGGTTGGGCACACTCCAGCAGGGACTGAACATTGAGCAATGCCGTGTTGCTGCAAGAGAGGCAATGTTTGCGGTTGCATAGGCCATTACGGTCTGTCTGTTTTCATTTTGTTGGACGTTTTGGGGACTGGTTCATTGTTTTGTAAGCAGGCTGCGCAACAGGCCAGTCTGAAATTTTGAGTGATATGGGCACTTCACAGAAAACCATCACCAGTACGAAAGATGCCCACGGCCATACCATCTCATGCATTTCATGTTAGCGGCGTCTGAATCTTCAAACACGAACTCAATGAGAGACTACTGTACCTCTCTACCCGTTGAGTGCTTCCCCCAAAACTGCTTTGACGATTGAAGGGTATATAGAGGTTTACCCTGTAGCTTCTTACAGAGCAGCTACTATTCATAAGGTGCCCAATCAAGTTCACCCTGTAGCTACTCTGAGTAGCTGTTTCGATTATAAAAATGCTGGGAAATCTTCCCTCTGGCATGCGCCAAAAGGTGCGTACCTAGGGTACTTACCCCGTAGCTTCTTCCAGTAGCTGTTTCTCAACAGCCATTCTCCGAGCCACCATATCCCCGTACCTTGCGTGCAGGTCCGGGGATCCGGCAGGGATTGCTTCGGAAAGAGACACAGCGCTAGGGGCTGCTGCTGATGTGGCACCTTCTGCAGAGGCACTTGCTGAGCTGGCACCTGCAGAGGTGGCGCTTGCTGAGGTGGCACTTGCTGAGCTGGCACCGGCTTGAGCCAGGAGGGAGGTGAAGGGGAGAAAGGAGCCTTGGGTGTGGCAGAGATAGCCGTGTGCTGCTCTCAGCGCTGCTCCCAACGAGGCAGAGTCTGGAGATGGGAGGGAGGAAAAAGGGTGGGAGGCAGGTTAAGGGGCATGTGGGGGAAAAGAGCGATGAGAGGGTGGCGTGGGAAGGCAGAGGTAGCCGTGTGCTGCTCTCAGCGCTGCTCCCAGCGAGGCTGAGTCTGAAGAGGAGGGAGAGGAGATGGGGTGGGATGGGATGGTTGGAAGCAAGGAGAGGAATGAGAAACGAGAGGGGGAGAGAGGAAGGAGCCTTGGGTGTGGCAGAGGTAGCCGTGTGCGTGCTGCTCTCAGCGCTGCTCCCAGTGAAGCGGAGTCTGGAGATGGGAGGGAATGGGAGGAGATGGGAGGAGATGGGAGGAAATGGGAGGAGATGGGAGGAGATGGGATGGGGAGATGTGAGGAAAAGAGTGAGAGGAGGATGGCATTGGAAGGCGGAGGTAGCCGTGCCGTGTGCTTCTCTCAGTGCTGCTCCCAACGAGGCAGAGTCTGGAGTGGGGAGAAGATTGGAGGAGTTTGGAGAAGATAGGGGGAGACGGGAGATGGGAGATGGGAGATGGGAGATGGGAGATGGGAGGGAAGGAAGGAAGGAGGAGAGAAGTGAGCGAAGAGAGACGAGAGAGAGAAAGGAGGCGCGGGTTTGGCAGAAGTATTCGTGTGTGTTGCCTTCTCCCAACGAGGCAGAGTATGGTGATAGGAGGAAATGGGAGGAAATGGGAGGAAGGTGTAAGAGAGGAGGTGATGTTAATCATTAACCCACATGACACACATGTAAAACGAGGAGGTTTTTGAGATGCTATGATTACAGAAAAAGGGACAGATGATGCGAACAGGTGTCTGGGGGCAACATTCGCAGCTTGTTTGAATCACCTGTGGTTGCGGAGGTATACACTGGGCAGCCAAAAAACATTTGCCATGGTGCGCAAAATTGCCTCATTGGCTGAGCCGCCACCCGTGGCAATGATCCGGGCAGGTGGACTTTGCAACCCGATTCTCTCCGCATGCCCTCTCATTGACACCAACTGCCCTTCCACCAATGCCCTGATCTGTAAGGCATAGTGAGAATCATGGAAGTGGGGGGAGAGGGATGAAAGGAGCACGAGAACCAAGTGGTTTTGGAGTCCAATTCTCGCTGCATGCCCTCGCATTGACACCAGATGCCTTTCCACCAATGCCCTGATCTGTGGGGGGGGGGCGGGGATCATGGAAGTGGTGGGGGAAGGGGAGGTAGGAAGGGAGGTAAGAGGCTTTGCAGCCTGATTCACTCCGCATGCCCTCGCATTGACACCAGATGCCTTTTCACCAATGCCCTGATCTGTGAAACAAAGAGTGAAGAATAACAAATGAACGACAATTGATGGGGGCCGCCGAAGGAACAGGAATCAAGAAAACGGAGAACCTTCAGCGGAACAGGAACCAAGAGCAACGGAACAAACATACTGCAGCGAGTGTTTTTTGAGAATTCTCAAAAAACCCTCGAAGGAACAGGAATCAAGAAAACGGAGAACCAAGAGCAACGGAACAAACATACAGTGATTCTATCGCTATCTGCCCCTTCATTATCCGCCCCCTCCATTATCCGCCCCTTCATTATCCGCCCCTTCATTATCCGCCCCTTCATTATCCGCCCCTTCATTATCCGCCCCTTCATTATCCGCCCCTTCACTATCCGCCCCTTCACTATCTGCCCCTTCACTATCCGCCCTCTATCACCCCTGTGCAAGCAAGGTTACCTCTTGTGGTGGTTCGAAGGTTTGATCAGAGGAGAGGCGAGTGAGAGAGTCGTCCCCACCCTGCCTTGGTGAAAAGCGATGGGTCCCCACTGTAAGGATGCGGCAAAGGGGCGATGAGATAGGCAGAATGTTGATGAGTAGAGAGAGAGGATTACTCTTGAAAGCCCGTTCAGCCTTGAATAAGTTACTCACGCCCTCTGTTGGTGAAAAGCGATGGGTCCCCACTGTAAGAAAGGGGGACTGTAAGAAAGGGGGACAGCACAGCACAGGGGAGAGGTATGGGACAGGTGATCCATCCGTATGGGACAGGTGATCCATGGGATGGGACAGGTGATCCATGGGATGGGACAGGTGATCCATGGGATGGTACAGGTGATCCATCCGTATGGGATGGGACGGATGATACCAGAGATGGGATGGCATGATGGCATCTGAGTCAAATGCTACTTAGGTGACTTTTGAGTCGACTCAAAATATGGCATGATGGCATCTGATTCAAATGCTACTTTGGGTAAGTATGTAAGAGTGTAAGCAGCTCCACCTTATGATTGCTAGTGGAGGGATGATCTCTGGGTCGAGATAGTGGAATCTCAGTCGGCCACCTGCCCAGCCCATGCACCCAGCTGCGCAGCCCATTCACCGAGGTCGTTTTTGAGGCGCCTCAAAAACGACTCCAGCTGCCCAGCCCATGCACCCAGCTGCCCAGCCCATGCACCCAGCTGCCCAGCCCATGCACCCAGCTGCCCAGCCCATGCACCCAGCTGCCCAGCCCATGCACCAGCTGCCCAGCCATGCACCCAGCTGCCCAGCCCATGCACCCAGCTGCCCAGCCCATGCACCCAGCTGCCCAGCCCATGCACCCAGCTGCATGCCCAGCTGCAGCCCATGCACCCAGCTGCAGCCCATGCACCCAGCTGCCAGAGGAAGATTGAGTACCTAACAAGGTCGTAACTTACCAGGCAGTGGAGGATGATCTCCGGGTCAAGATAGTAGAATCCCATTTGCCCACCTGCACAAATGCCCACCTGCCCATATGCCCACCTGCCCATATGCCCACCTGCCCATATGCCCACCTGCACATATGCCCACCTGCACATATGCCCACCTGCACATATGCCCACCTGCACATATGCCCACCTGCACATATGCCCACCTGCACATATGCCCACCTGCCAAGACGTACCTGGTTCGTGTGAGTACCTAAGAAATTGATAACCTGGTTACCAACTTACCAGGCAGTGGAGGGATGATCTCCGGGTCAAGATAGTAGAATCCCATTTGCCCACCTGCACAAATGCCCTCCTGCACATATGCCCACCTGCCCATATGCCCACCTGCACATATGCCCACCTGCACATATGCCCACCTGCACATATGCCCACCTGCCAAGACGTACCTGGTTCGTGTGAGTACCTAAGAAATTGATAACCTGGTTACCAACTTACCAGGCAGTGGAGGGATGATCTCCGGGTCAAGATAGTAGAATCCCATTCGCCCACCTGCCCAGGCGTTAAGAAAGAGGGTAAGAAGTGATGAGATGGGGCAGTGAGGAGGTGAGGAGGTGAGGAGATGAGGTGATGAGGAGGTGGGGAGATGAGGAGAAGAGGAGATGAGGAGGTGGGGAGGTGAGGAGATGAGGAGATGAGGAGATGAGGAGATGAGGAGATGAGGAGATGAGGAGATGAGGAGATGAGGAGATGAGGAAATAGAACGATATTTGGGTGAAGCTAATGCCCCAGATAGTAGAACCCCAGATAGTAGAACCCCAGATAGTAGAACCCCAGATAGTAGAACCCCAGATAGTAGAACCCCAGGAGACACCTTCCCAGACGTTGTAAGAGCCGCAAACGGGGGTCAGGAGGTCAGGTCAGAAGGCAAGTGAGGAGGTGAGGTGGGGAGGTGGGGAGGTGAGAAAGTCGGGAGGTAGGGAAGACAGTGGGCCGGCATGGAGGCCTGCATGCACACAGTTGACTTTCGAGTCGACTGAACAGTCACCTCGGGCCGGCATGGAGGCATGCATGCACACAGTTCACAGCACACACCAGCTAGACCATGTATGCAGCACCGGCACACACCATTCAACGGCGGGGCGTCATTCAGCAGGTGGCAGAATGTCTCCCACGATCCTCCTGCACAGCCAATCCTCCATTCTCACACCATGCTCTCCCAGGTAGCCACACCAGCTAGACCATGTATGCAGCACCGGCACACACCAGTCAACGGCGGGGCTTCATTCAGCAGGTGGCAGAATGTCTCCCACGACCCTCCTGCACAGCGGTCCCTGATGGCTGGTGGTGGTGGGATGGTGGGAGGAACGGATGATGGGAGCGTGAGAGGATGGAATGATGGGATTAACACATACTTCGATCAAGTCACACACAAGGTCACGCGGATAATCAGCCGCATATGAACGTATAAAGTCGCACCAGCAGGAGCCTCGACCGCCCAGAACAGATGATCAGCTGCATATGCAAGCTTTTAGTGCTACACTGTGAGAACGCCGGTACCTTGCCGAGTGAGCGACCCGTTCGTATAACAGATCATGGCCATAAACGAGGATGGATCCACTGGGTTGGGAAACACGTGGCCCTCCAGACCAGGTTGAGGATCCATCACGACTGCAAACACCTGGTTGGGATGGGATGGGAAGAGGTGGGAAGGGGTGGGAAGGGGTGGGAAGGGGTGGGAAGGGGTGGGAAGGGGTGGGGTGGGATGGTATGGCAAAGACATGACCCTCCAGCCCAGGCTGAGGGTCCATCACCACCAAAGAACACACCTGACTGAGAAAACACCTGACTGAGAAAACACCTGACTGAGAAAACACCCGACTGAGAAAACACCCGACTGAGAAAACACCCGACTGAGAAACACCCGACCGAGAAAACACCCGACTGAGAAAACACCTGACTGAGAAAACACCTGACTGGGACAAGGTGGAGATGATGGAGATGTTTGCATGCACTAGTCCAAAAAAACCCAGTACAGTGGTGTCAGTAGCAGACAGGTGGGCTGCGGAGGTCTTACTGCCATCAACTCTTGTGGTTATTGAATCGACGAGACAAACCCCATGGAATGAAAGGAAAAACCCGGTTAACTGTGAGCTTAGAGCGTTATCTTAGAGAGCCAGTTTAAACAAATCGTCAATCGTACCATACGAGACCATACCATACGAAACAATACGATACCATACGAGACCATACCATACGATACATACCCTGCAACAAGTGCAAGCTAAACTTGGCTATCAAGAATCTCACCTGTATCAAGCCTCTTGATACAGAAAAGCTCAATTAGAAGCTAAAACGATCGATACACAAATGCAAACGCACTGACTCACAATCACACCTACTGACCTACTGAGACGCTTCGAAGCAGTCTTTTTGTTTGAGGCGTTTTGAGGCGCCTCGACAAAAAGATGGATGGATGGATGGGAGGATGTCCTTCTGCAAAACCATCCAAAGTCACTCACAGTGTCGCTCGTCCCCAGGCTGATGCCCACATCGCCCGAACCTCCCAGCGCCAAACCTGCGACGCAGGCATGGCAGGTGGCAGGCGATGGTCCGGTCCAGCTTTAGGTTTTAAAAGTACCTTTTCTTTCAAAGAACACCAGAAAAAAAACTGGCAAGCTGGCGACCAGCCAACATGGTCAACATAGTCAACAGGGTCAACAGGGTCAACATGGTCAACATAGTCAACAGGGTCAACAGGGTCAACATGGTCAACAGGGTCAACAGGGTCGACATGGTCAACTAGTCAACAGGGTCAACATGGTCAACAACAGGGTCAACATGGTCAACAGGGTCAACAACAGGGTCGTCAACATGGTCAACATGGTCAACATAGTCAACAGGGTCAACAGGGTCAACAGGGTCAACAGGGTCAACAGGGTCAACATGGTCAACAGGGTCAACAGGGTCAACATGGTCAACAGGGTCAACATGGTCAACAGGGTGCATGGCATGAATCTTACCAGCAAGGCTGCAAGGGTTATCCCCTGACCACGCCACGACTTGGCAGCTTGGGGAGAAGCCAAACCTGCAGAGAGCAGGAAAGCAGGGCGTGGAGTGGGAGGGGGGGAACAGGAGGCTTTCTACTGAGCCTGAAGGGTTATCCCCGGACCACGACACGACTTGGAAGCTTGGGGAGAAGCCAAACCTGGAAAACAAGGAGGAAAGAGGGGGGAGGCGGGAAACGAGGGGTGGAAAGAGGGGAGCGACATGAAGAGGATGCAGGGCAGCGGAGGTCCAAGGGTTGTCTCCTGACCACGCCACGACTTGGCAGCTTGGGGAGAAGCCAAACCTGCAGAGAAGAGAGAAAGATGGGGGATGGGGAGCGGGGGAAGGCAGCTCACTGCTCATGCCCTGACCTGACCACACCACGACTTGGCAGCTTGGGAAGAAGCCAAACCTGGAAAGTAAGGAGGAAAGCAAGGGCGGGGGGGGGGACAAGGGGCTCAGGAGGCGTTTACCGGCTACTGAGCCCTATGGTTGTCGCCTGTCCATGCCACGACTTGGCCATTCATTACGTGCATTCACTTCAACTTGGCCAGCTTGGAAATTCACCTCAGGTGGAAGGCAAGGCGGCTCAAAGTTTGAGACTCAGACACAGCACATGCATGCACGCATGCACCTCTCAAAATACAACCGATGCCTCAAACGCAACACATGCAGCACGCACCTGTCCACGTAGTACTACTGATGCACACTCCCAACCACTTGGTGGGAGAAACCTCAAAGAGAGCGCGTGCATGCATGCATGCACACACGCACACACAGCACAGCACAGCACATGCACACACCTGTCCACGTAGTACTGATGCACGCTGCCAATCACTTGGTGGGACGGAACCACCTTGCCGAGCCTCTCTCGAAGGTTCGGCGCCGTGGCCTGTCAGGCTCGGGAGGGGGGAGGGGGGAAGGTGAGTGGGGGGGGGGGGGGCGGGAAGGGTGAAGAAATGGACAAGCGATCAAGGTATGGATAAAAAATGCTGACGGGATCTCACGCGACACGATGGAAGCATGCGGTAGATAACAAGGTGTGATGAGTAGGGTTGAGCACGGGCCAGGCCCGGCCCAACCCGCGGGCTGCCCCAAAAGGCGGGCCGGGCCCAGCCGGGCTCGCCCCAGGCCAAATGAGCCAGACCTTGACCCAGTTCGCCCAGGGGATACCTGAGTCGAGTTTTGAGTCGACTCAAAACCCAGCCGGGCTCGCCCCAGGCCAAATGAGCCAGACCTTGACCCAGTTCCCCCAGGGGGTACCTGAGTCGAGTTTTGAGTCGACTCAAAACCCAGCCGGGCTCGCCCCAGGCCAAATGAGCCAGACCTTGACCCAGTTCGCCCAGGGGGTACCTGAGTCGAGTTTTGAGTCGACTCAAAACCCAGCCGGGCTCGCCCCAGGCCAAATGAGCCAGACCTTGACCCAGTTCGCCCAGGGGGTACCTGAGTCGAGTTTTGAGTCGACTCAAAACCCAGCCGGGCTCGCCCCAGGCCAAATGAGCCAGACCTTGACCCAGTTCGCCCAGGGGGTACCTGAGTCGAGTTTTGAGTCGACTCAAAACCCAGCCGGGCTCGCCCCAGGCCAAATGAGCCAGACCTTGACCCAGTTCGCCCAGGGGGTACCTGAGTCGAGTTTTGAGTCGACTCAAAACCCAGCCGGGCTCGCCCCAGGCCAAATGAGCCAGAGCTTGACCCAGTTCGCCCAGGGCGTACCTGGGCCGGGCCTGGCCCTGCCCGGGTGCACTTTCGTTATAGGTAAACTGTTCTTTGGGCCAGTTTTAGAGAAGCAAACAAGTCTAGGGCCCAAACGGGCCGGCCCGGCCCGCCTTGTAACGGGCGGGCCAAAAGCAGGCAGACGACAGCCCGGTGGGGCGGGATTGCCCGGTCCGCCCCGAGCCAACAGCCCAACCTAGAGGTTCGGCCCGGGGCAGTTTCAGGCTGGCCCGACCCGGACCGGGCCCAGCCCGACCCTGTACTCAACCCTAGTGATGAGGAATGCTTGACTGACAGAATGCTATTGCAAAAGTGGTATCTAGAGGATTTTCAGCGTGCCACTAGCAGCGTTACTCAGAACGATCAAATGTATGGTTTGATAACATAAGAACATCACTGCAGCACTTTGACTGACCTCTTGTGCCACGTCAGCTCACCTCCAGTGCCACGTCAGCCCACTGTCTCGTCCGCAGATCCATCAGATTCATCCCAGCGCCGTCAGCAGCATCGATGGGAGCGTAATCTCCAACCAATAGCGATGCGCCAAACGAGCTCACTAGAGAGATCCTTTCGGTGCTCTCATACTCCCGAGCCTGATGCTGCCACACTCGCCGAACCTGAGGTCCGGTGAACCGCTCGTAGGCTCGGGAGCCCGTCAGCCGAGCCAAAGCTGCAGGTCCGCCAAGAGCTGCTTCGATTTCCCTGCACTGGGCTGCTGTGCTGCTGTCCATCCAAATCGGGGAATCTAAAATTGAAAATACACTCTGCTGCAATGATGCATTGTCTTGAAACGAATCACCCTGTGCTGAATCATTCGAGCTGAGCCCCTCCCTTTTCCTGTTTCTCTCATCCCCACATAGCTGAGCGAAAAGGGTCTGGTCAGACTTGAGATTTTTAAGGCGTGCCCGGGCTCCTCTCCGCCAGAAAACGCTCCCGTGCTGCTGCCCGCTGCCGGAAACTGCCCGGACTTTATCAAATGGAAAGTCCGCTTCCTTCAACCTCGCTAGAATCACATCAAAAGCCTCCACCCACATGGCTGGTGGTGCCGTGACCCTAAGCGCCGAGCCTGACGAGGAGGCTCGGGAATCAGGTTCGGCGGAGGCACGGTGGACGCCTCCAGAGGTTCGGTAGTGGGGGAGGGTTGTATCGTACTGGAGTGACTCGGTAGCGACGATTCGAAGAGAGGAATCAATTGCTGTGGCCTTGAGTGACCTGAAAACGGTGTGATTATAAAGGGGGAAGGGGGTGAGCGTAGGGGGGGGGAGGGGTTGGGAAGGGGGGAGTGGGGAGAGAGGGAGGGGGGAAGGGAGGTTGGAGGTTTTAAGGGTGAGCTTATGTGGGGACAGTGTCATATTGGAGTGATTCCATAGCGACGTTGCGAAGAGAGGAATAGATAGATGTGACTTTAGTGACCTGAAACGCCGTTGACGGAGGAGGAAAGGGGGCGGGGAAGGGTGTGGATGGGAGGGTAGCGGGGAAAAAAAATGGAGAGGGTAAGCAATTCAGGTTAGAGGGTGCGGGAAATCAATGACTTTTGAGTCGACTCAAAAGTCAATTCAGGTTAGAGGGTGCGGGAAATCAATGACTTTTGAGTCGACTCAAAAGTCAATTCAGGTTAGAGGGTGCGGGAAATCAATGACTTTTGAGTCGACTCAAAAGTCAATTCAGGTTAGAGGGTGCGGGAAATCAATGACTTTTGAGTCGACTCAAAAGTCAATTCAGGTTAGAGGGTGCGGGAAATCAATGTCAGCTTCATAATGCAGTACCTCAATCAGTAGCGCGTGTCCCTGCGCCGCCAATCAGGCAACGCGGTTCAGTTCGGTGTGCGCGCCAAGCCTGCCTGGGATAGTTTCTGCCCGAAACATGCCCTGATTTGTGGCACTGACGAAAGCGAATATTCGTCAACTCACTGCGTGGAGCTATCGAAGCCGAGAAACATTCGTCCAGACACAACAACGGCTTTCGAGTCGACTCGAAAGGCATTCCAAGACCCAACAAATGGCCTTATTTCCTACTCACTGCGTGGAGCTGTCGAAGCCGAGAAACAGGCCGTCCAGACCCAACAATGCTGCCATTGTTACGCTGTCGATTTTTTCCAACCAACGGCTATGACGTCGAGAGTTTCCAAGAGACGGCTACGATGTCAGGAGAGGTAAAAAGCAAGAGATAGACGACGTTTCCAACCAGCGGATACAGTCATCCGCTTCACGTGCGCGAGACGAGATTTTTCAGGCTTCACTTTCTTGACTGTAGTGTAGCGTAGAGTCACTTAGGTGGTTCAGAGGCGTATGTATGGATGGCGGGATGCCTAGATGTGTCTAGGTGCTGTACCGATCTTTGTGACTACTCTCGAAGTGCATCTGAGAAATCCAGGTGCAGAAATTCCCGAACACCAGGAAAAAGAGAGGAACATTACGGTGTGACGAAATCAACCTCGTGACGTCTCAAATCTATTCGGATTGCGGTTTTTAGTGCATTCCTTGCGGAACTGTATGACGAAGGATGTCGCATGTGGTTCTATTCGTGACAGGGTTGATCACTCAACCGCCGATCTACGTGTGACACTCGTCACCGATTTGGCGCAAGGACACTAAGCAACGAAGAGTCGAATCTGAGCTCAATGTGGTGAGGAAATCATTTTCGAGAATGCGGGCTCGAAAACCTGGGTTACATAGCGCATACCTGACGTGACAGTTTTTCATTGGGTGCAAAAATCAAATCAGCATTGTTCAAACTTCCACGTTCAAAATTTTCAATCTCTATTCCTTGCCAGCACCGCCCATGCGCGGTCATCCTTTGAACCTCAGCGTATAGAACACGAAAACCGCCACCTTGAGGCGAGCCCTGCACATGCTAGGTATCGGCCCCGCGCGAAGTGGGGGGATTTCGCATTCCCAAGCAGGGCGAAATTACGTGATTCGCCAAGTACAATACAAAGTGTTTACTTTGTCATTAGACCAGATTCGGAGGGAAGTTACAACATTGCACAAACAAGTATGCTCAACTACTTCTATTGCAAGCACCTGAACAACTACTCACAAGCTGGAGTAGTTGCACGTTCTCTTTCAACAACGTTACGTTCTTTTCGAGACGTTCTTGCACTCGTCACTCTGTTTTATATGTGGTTCTTTCCCCGTAATCTATCAATGAGTCAATTTCGTTTCTTCTTTCGTTGGACACCAAGTATACAGATTGCGAATGCCACAAGCATGTTCCAACAAGTCCGCATACTCAAAACATGTGCTTCTTGTCAGAATACTGTTATAACTGCATGTAGTTCTAGTGTAGTGTAGTTCTATATTTGTACTTTCTTGGTGGTGCACCCTTTCCTGAACTATATCTTGTACCTCTTTCTCATATTGAACCATTCATTTCTCCTCTCTCTTGGCACAAACCACTCGACTTCTCCTTGGCCTAGGCTACTAAGCCTAGGCCCCCACTTAACTCTCAACTACCTCTTAAGCTCGTTATTCAACATGGCATTAGAGCGAGTTACGTCCTGGCCTGTGGGCCCGCCTCACGCTTCCGCTACTATTTTTCCGGTCGCGCGCCTCGGGCGCGTGACGATTTTCGTTCTGTCCCGCGCCCGGGTGGCGCGTAACGTTTTTTCTGCCCGTCGCGGACCCGCCCCTGGCGCCCGCGACGGTGCCTTGAGCCGTCGCGGACCCGCCCCTGGCGCCCACGACGGTTCCCTGAGCCGTCGCGGACCCGCCCCTGGCGCCCGCGGCGGTGCCACTGCACCACCCAGCGCCTGCCCTTGGAGCAGCCGCCCCCGCTCCTCCACTCGGTGCAGCCGCCTCTGCCTCACCCCGCGCCTGCACTCGCTGCAGCCGCCCCTGACCTACCCGCGCCGACCCTCTGTAGCCGCTCTGCGGCTTTCTCCTTGCCCACCCCCTCCTCCTTCGTCTTCCTGCAGCCGTGGGGGGGAGGGCATGGGGGTGGCGGGTGTGGGGTGATGGGTGGTGTGTTTCCCTTCCCCTCCTCCTTTCGTTCCCACTGCTGCAGCTGCTGCTGGGGGGGAGGGTGTGAGGGTGTGGGGGAGCCCGGGGAGTGGCATTGGGGTGGCGGATGTGAGACAAACCAGCCCCCGTCCCTCTGAGGTGGGGGGGGGGGGGGAGGAGAGTAAGGGGGTGGCAGGAGTGCCTGCCCCCCCCCCCCTTTGCTGCCTGTACCTGCTCTGCTGCCTTGCGCTGTTTCTCTGTCTGTGGTGTACCCCTGCAGGTTGTGTCCTGCACTTCACTATTCCTGCATGCAGTTACGGGGGGATGTCAGAATACTGTTATAACTGCATGTAGTTCTAGTGTAGTGTAGT